AAAGAGTGGAAGAGTGAGAGGTGAACCTGTCACTGAACCTGTCTTTATCAATGCCTGTCAGACTGATGTTGGAGTCGTGTAAATGTGTACGTGTAAACCTGCTTACAGAAATCGGAAAATAATGAATTTATTAGTGAAGTCGGGCCAAATAAACTGCCACGAAATCACGGCAAGTGATTAGGTTCAGTGCGGTGCTCGAAATGTGGAAAACCCAACATTTTTTCAGCAAATAACCAACACATTTGTTTACATTTTTTTTCAATTAGTCGCTTCAAGAAGTGAATATTTGCTGCTTAATTATTACCCATGCGACCTGTGATATTTAGATTAGTGTATGTGATGTGCATAGTTTGTTAGCATTTAATTTCGACGACTTTACCGTTTCGGGACCAGCCAAAATGCTGAATGGAAAACTCAAAATACACACCTGTAGGGTTATCCTGCTCACATCCCTAGTGTGGTTTTTAGTGGACGTAGTGATTCTGAGTTTTTATTCCGAGTGCCTCGGTGGTTCCTGCAATCAGAAAAACCCGGAAGCTTTGGCTCAGATCGACGGCAGCAAAGATTATGATAATGCATTCGACGACAACAAAATTGACGAAATTCAACCCCAAAGGTAAGTCCTAATCTAAGGAGATGACACTTTTCAGTTCACAACTGATGACCACAATTTATATCAGTGAGCGGCTGGTCATTGGCACTTAGTGCTCAATATTAGTCCAATGTTAAATAGATGTTAATCAACAGAAACCAGATAGTGGACATACAGGGAGAGTGTTCTAGAAGAGACAACTAATTTAAAAGTTTTTATCAACATTCTCTAAAAACTGCTTTTGATCGGAGCCCCTGAAGGGAGGCAAATGAAGAGGGTGTTTTCGCAATAGATTGTACCTACTCGGTAATATGCAGGAATGATGATTCTTTATGCGCTAATAGTTGCATATTTTTACCAACTATAAGGGCTCTCCAACGTAACTACCCCAACTGTCTTCTTCGAAAAATTTCGTATTTTTTGCGTTCAAACCCCTGATTTGCCACGCTATTTTGGAGTAAAAAGATTTTTTTAGTTCATCTCATTACGAGAACGTGTTTTTCCGAAAAACAAATTTTATAAACCAATGCAATATGGCAAAAATGAACTGTTTCACGCTAATACAGACAGAACAGACCCTTTAATAAAAATTGCCAGCTTACAATACGGAAGCAGTAGCAACTTCAAATTACACGCAGTCCATAGAGGATACTTAAGCCTAAAATCCCCGGAAAATTTAAAGATTTAAATCGCATCAGGTGCTTTGGGAAATGTGGTCAAAAAATGAACGTTTGCACGCAACTGCAAGGTCTCGAAAAATTCGCAAATGCTAATCGAGAGCAAGTAGCGACTTGAAATTTGTATGTTCCAAAGAAGACACTTGAGTCTAAAACTCCTCAAAATTTCATGTTCTTCGCATAAGTTGCAGATTTCTGTAAACCTCTGAAAATGAAAGTTATCACGCAACTGAAAGTTCTTTAATCTTAACTTCTATCTAGCGTAAGTAGCGAGTTGAAATTTTTACAGTCTAAGGAACACACTGAACTAAACTTGAGGCTTTTGAAAACTTTGGTCAAACAACGGAGTTTTTGAGGCATCTGCAAGCTCTTTCAAAGCAAAGCAAAAAAATTCGTAACTTCTTATCGCGAACGAGAAGGGACTTTTTAACGAAAATGGACAGTTGAAAGAAAACACCCGAGTTTATAAACTCGCACAGCTTCATTTAAATCCCGTCAGATACTGACTTTTGTTCTTTTTGTAAATGTTGAAAAAATTGTCGTTTTCACACAATTTCTCTCTAATAAAAAATCTGTTCCAGAGCAAGAAGGGGCTTGAAAAATGTATAGTCTCAAGAAGACCCCTGAATAAGAACCCTTAATTTTCTTTTAAATCGCAAAACATGCTGAAATTTGCAATTGTTGGTCACATAATTGACTCTTTCACGCAACTACAAGCTGTTGAATTAAAAATTCTAGCTTGTAACCCAAAGCAAATAGCGATTGGAAATTTTTACAGTCGAAAGAAGACACTTGAGTATAAATATCCTCAAAATTTATTTAAGTCGCGTCTGATGCGTCTCCTAATAAAAATTCCTAACTTCTAATCGAGAGCAAGAAAGGACTAAACATTTTTACAGTCTCTTAAAAACCCTTGAATCTAAACTAAACTGAAACTGCAACTGCAAGCGCCTGAATGATGAGTTAGATGATTTTTACAGACTAAAAAAATACATTTGAATGTATAACTTTCAATTTTTCATTTAAATCGCATCAGATGCTAATTTTTGCATCTTTTGTAAATGTTGGTCAAAAATGGAATTTTTTGATCCCAAAGTGTCTTCGATGGCAATGAAATGTTGTTTTCTTTAAAAATATTAACCGATTGCCTCGAAGTGTTTTTCCACGTCCGATACTTAATACTATTACGGACTAGATTTGAGAAGTTCAAGATATTCAGCACTTTGGTTTACCAGCATATTTAAGACTGTCTCATTAACAATTCCGTCGATTTCCGAACTAAGATCTTCGCTTTAGTTTATATAAAGACGACCATGATCTACTTAGCATTCTAAGCAGTCTCTCATATAATCATCTAAACATGATAACTATTATTATTATGAGATAATTTCTCTGGAGCACTGTAATTGATAAACTGCATTTAACACTAAACCCCTAATTCCGAGCCAATTTATTAGAAACGCTAAAGTTTGTTTTAGTTAACAATTGTTATTAAATAAAATAATAAATACAAAGTTGGCAAGGAGCAATTGCTTTTGAACAAAAACGCAAGCCTTCAAATCAAAGGTATTTTAAACACCGTTTACAGTGGCTTTCTTCAGCCTGCGTCTAAACGCTATCTAGACGATATAATAACGGTAATTCGAAAATATAAAGAAAAGGCTATAATTGGCATGCTTAATAGCTATTCACACATGTTCTAATAGTAGAAACGGAAGATGGCTATATTGAAACCGATTTGGTTGTGTCCTTAATAATATTGGGGGTCTTTTTTTACCGTCCTGTAATAAAGACGGGTCATAATATTTTTATAACAACATACTTTGTATTGGCCAGAAAATCAAAATATAAATTTTCTAAAAATAGAGAATTATAACTATTTTCCTCATAAATCAAACACACGGTCATTAAAGATCGGCTTTATTTTAAATAAATATAATTAGGATAATGGCCAGGTCTAGTCTCGGATTAATTAATGAGCACCTGGCGTATTAATGAGAAACTAGGCCACCAGCTTTAAAGTCCAGATGAAGAGAAATTTGGTTTCTTGAATTTTACATTGTAACTTATTGCTTTTTTAATTAAATGTGATTTATCAAAGTTTTTCCTGCAATTACATTTCAGTGTCAATTGTTAATGGTTTGCGACCCCAGTGTTTGGAATTAATTTCGCTGAATCTGCAGTTGCTAAATTTAAATTAGCGCCGCTTTTTTAAATTAAATCGCCTGTTTCGGTCACTATTTACATGAACTAATTAAACGTTTCGTTATGTCGTTGTCGCTCTCTCGGTGTTGCGTAGTGAGTGCAACTTCAATGCAACTGGATATACAGAGCGTGCCAAAAAGTTATGTTTGTTTAATTGAAATTTTCAGAAATAGCCCGAGCAATTCTCATGGAAGTGGCACCGGAGGAATTTCGATCACTTACCGTTCGCATGAGCTGAAGAAATGGCGTATCGCCCCCGTGGTTCTTCCAGCCGGCGAACTTCCTGGTGAAAGAGGAAGAGCAGTTAACATCCCGCCCGAACAGGACGAGCTGATGAAGGAAAAGTTCAAGTTGAATCAGTTCAATTTGTTGGCCAGCGACAAAATCTCGTTGAATCGATCATTACGAGATGTACGACTAGACGGGTAAGTTCAGTAGGCGCTTTTTGAGCAATCGTGGATAAAACTTTGTTTTTGTTTATCCACTTTCATATGCTAGTTGGGTTTCGCCATGGTTTTTCTTTTCCGATTCAGTTCAAGAACATGCGGGCACTTATCAAGAACAATACAGATGTAATTATTTCAGGCACACGCCATGTATGAAAAGCCAACGAAACTTCTCCGTGCGAAATTGCGAAAAACTGCATAGCAAATTACTACACATTATATCAATTAATATTATTGTATGTTTGTACCTATATTATAGCGGTGGCGGTTGTGAAAACGAGCCGACACGCTTTTGAATCTCGGTCGTCGTCATTGTTGTTTAATTCATGATCTTGTGGTTTGTCTGTTGAAAGTAAAAGATGTCATTAACAAAGTGTAACATCGAACTGGCTAATCACACTGAACGCATGAAACCAACGATGATTAACTCATTCAGGTCTCTGGGGCAAGTAGCCGTTTTTCGGTAGTTTTTGAGTAATTTACGGTTTTCGATTGATTTCTTAATTGTTTGGTGAATTCGTTTCGGAAGAGTTGCTATTGATCTAATATTAATAAAATGTGCACTTCCAGATCGGTATAAATCCGATAAAAAATGTATTCCACGAAAACTATCCAGTTGCAACACAACTTTGTTAATAATTACATTATTTTCCAGATGTAAAAGTAAAGTGTATCCAAGACTTCTTCCCACTACGTCGATCGTGATTGTGTTCCATAATGAGGCCTGGAGCACACTTCTGCGGACTGTCTGGAGTGTGATAAATCGCTCTCCTAAAGCTCTTCTTCAGGAAATTATCCTCGTTGATGATGCAAGCGAACGCGGTAAGAAAAAATCGGCAATTTCTCATTGTTGTGCGCTTTACAATTATTCAACAATTCGGTCAAAGAAAGCTAAACAAATCGCTTGCTCAATCACACAATAAAATGCCTATTATTAAAAATCTAACCGAGCGGCGATTGCTTTATTAAGGAAGATTTACAATTTATTTCGCCACAGTTCCTGCACATAATCGCTCTAGCGGTTATCCACCATTTAACTAACAATAGTCTGGATAAATTTTTAAATTCTCAATGAAAATTGCAGATTACTTGGGCAAAAAGTTGGAAGATTACGTAAAGACTCTACCTGTGCCTGTCTACGTGTTGAGGACCAACAAACGATCCGGATTAATCCGGGCTAGATTGTTGGGAGCCGAAAAAGTAACCGGTCAGGTAAGAACAGCCACAAAACACTCAAAAGAACGCCGAGTTTTACACTCTATGAAAAAACATCTGTATCTATCAAACAGGCGTAAAATAGTGGTTCTATCTTTAGGTGATCACGTTCTTGGATGCTCACTGCGAATGCACAGAAGGGTGGCTGGAACCGCTTCTAGCTAGAATCGTACAGAACCGAAAAACGGTGGTTTGTCCTATAATCGACGTTATTTCTGATGAAAGTTTCGAATATATCACCGCTTCCGATATGACATGGGGTGGCTTTAACTGGAAGCTGAACTTTAGATGGTAAGTCAATATTTAAAAGAATGTTTAAAGTCTATTCAATCTCCGTTTAAAACACGTAAAAGTGTGACTGTGTAGGATGTAAGGTAGACGCGCATGTGTTCGCATCAGACGAACGGAACGAATGGAAATTAATACTTATTTGCCTTATTTTAAATGCGATAACGCAAATAGATGCGAATCGGATCGATCTTCAGAGATGCAAATGTGGCGTTACCTCATTTAAAATCAGAAAAATATTAATTTTCATTCGTAGCGTTCGTCAGTGCGAACTCATGGGCGCTTACCTCTATTTGCATCTGCCGAACGGAACGAATTGAAATGAATCTTTGCCTTATTTTTGAATGAGATAACGCGACATTTGCATTTCTGAAGCTCGTTTGTTTGCGTTTTTGCGACATTCTTAATTTCCATTCGTTCCGAACAAACGTTTACCTTTAGACTTTACAGCAATCCTGCATGTAGAAGCAAATAAACCGCCAATTTTCATTTAAAAAAATTACGCTCTTTCTCATAATGGTTCTTTCTAAATGGTTTTTTTCAGGTATCGAGTTTCAGAACGGGAAATGAACAGACGCAAAGGAGACAGAACTGCACCTTTACGCACACCTACAATGGCAGGTGGGCTTTTCTCCATAGACAAGGACTATTTCTACGAAATTGGATCGTACGATGAGGGCATGGATATTTGGGGCGGTGAGAACTTGGAAATGAGCTTCAGGGTGAGTCAGCGGTTCTCATTCTCTATCAGGATAGATCTTTGTCGTGAGTTGCTGCCGCACTTTGCAAGTGGAAAGCGTGTTTTCCATCCGATTTTCGACTTACCGGCGTCGTTATCTTTGCACAGTTCATCGATTGATTGAAAAGGCAATTGAGGAAATGTGCGTTTGGTATTCTTAGGTGTGGCAATGCGGCGGAATCCTGGAAATAAGTCCTTGTTCCCGTGTGGGGCATGTGTTTAGGGGCCAGACTCCTTATACGTTTCCGGGAGGAGTCACTCAAATTATTCTGAAAAACCTGGCCAGAGTAGCCGATGTCTGGTTGGATGAATGGAGAGAGTTTTACTACGTGATGAATCCAGGTTTGGCGATAGTCAGCGCAAACCGTGGAATAACAGTGGAAAAAGTGGCACTTTTATAAAAGTTCAGTGGTTTCAAGTGAAAAATATGGTGCTGTTTTTTGCCAAAGTAGTTATTCTACTGGTTTTTTGATAAGGATTATTTCTGAAAATTCAATGGTGTAAATTTGCTGCCGCAACGGAAAAACACACAAGCAGGGGAAAATTGAAGAAATGATTCTTATTGACTGCGGATTTCGTCTCAGCTTCTTTCAGCAAAACCAACAGCTAAGCCAGTGTCCAGATTATTTGTTGTGTGTGATCACGCTTCCGCCATTGTACACTAGTGTTTCTGTCCTGGGATTACACTGTTGTGAGAAATACGTGTCATTTGTCCAAAGGTTTAACCGACCAAGTTTACTGTTTAACTGTTTACTTACTGCTAGTTTTAATTCGTATTTAACCACCACCCGATTGGGGTTTAGGTATGGCAATGCGGCGGTATCCTAGAAATTAATGCTTGTTCGCACGTTGGGCACGTGTTCCGAGATAAATCTCCGTACACTTTCCCCGGAGGAGTGTCCAAAATCGTTCTCCATAACGCTGCCAGAGTCGCTGAAGTCTGGATGGACCATTGGAAAGACTTTTACTATTCGATGGTGCCAGGTTAGAGAGGTTTTTGCCCATTTGAATGGAATCTGCGGCATATCGCGCCTGCTTTCAAGGCTTCGTTCTATAGTTTAATAGCTTGTTTTGTTTTTGGGAGCTTGTGGACTAACTTTCAATTGTGTGCATTAAATTCGAAGTGAAGCGCCTTGTTTCAAGCGAACTTCTGGGTCAAATGGAAATACGCGGTTTTATAGATCGGCCTTAAAATGTGTATGACATACTGAACTGTTAATGGTATTTTGAAATGTATGCATTTTTCGGGCACACAAGCATTATTAATTGAAAAGTAATGGGGCTTAGGTCTGGCAATGCGGAGGTACATTAGAAATAGTTCCATGCTCGCACGTCGGTCACGTGTTTAGGGACAAGTCCCCTTATACGTTCCCAGGAGGAGTGTCGAAAATAGTACTGCATAACGCTGCTAGGGTTGCTGAGGTGTGGATGGATAACTGGAAAGAGTTCTATTATATTATGAGTCCAGGTTTGGAGCGATTTTTTGTTATTATGCATTCGTATCTAACCGTATAAAGTCGAAGACAAATTAAACCTGCAGACTGGCGTATTGGCAGACTATCATCGTAGCTTACTAACCGGATACAGTGGATTTTGTTGATTTTTTCCCTTTAGTTCATCACTCCTCAACAGTAACAACATGTACTGCATTTGCTCAAATCCACCATCAGCATTACTAATTACAAGTTACTAAGGGCGAATAATACCTGAATGTAGATATGGCATTGAAATAAACATCTACTAACCACTTTAGCAATCTTCTATAAACTAACATGGTTTTGATAAATAAACAATTGTGTAATATGCCAGTTGAGGATTTTATATTGGGAACATGCAATCCGACTTCAACTAGCCAGTAACTAAAATGAAAATAAGCTGTTATAGAATATACAGGGTGGTTCAAAAAGGGTGAAATTATTAGTGTTTGGTTACGAGGCAATGGTTTCAAAGTATTCGACAGTAAATTGATAAGATTTCTTTTATTATTCAAATATAATGTAATAAAACAACTTCTACAGGATGTGTTCAAAAATTGACCTCAAAGGTTCCCAAATAACGTGTTTTTTTTACTCTTTTGTAACGTAAAAAATGTTCTTATTTTAAATATGAAAAATGCAAGAGACCAAAAAGTTTCCAACTGGAGCAAGCTATTAAAGTTCTCTTTACGACACGTTTACTGCCGGTCAAACTGTTAATACTTGTGTATTATTCTACAGTGTAACAACTGTAGAATTCATCTCAATTCACTCATTCATCTACCTGCTAAATTCCAAAATTCGTTTTTTGCTACTATTGCACTTTGCAGCCACAGTTCAACACAACTAGTGCCACACATTTTCTACGTTCCCTCTAGAAACAAGACACCAATTCTTACTCACCCTGTATATTTTTCATTGTTAAGTTCGCTATTTTCATACTCTACTTTTTATTGTGCTAAACAATACAGGAAACTAGAAGCGACGAAACATTGATTCTCTTATCTAAATGATTGTATTTAACGTTCGCTAGAGGACTTATTTTTTCCAAACTCCCACATACGAAAAAAGTCAGTTTGTATCAACAAAAAAATTCGGTTCTGCGAGATTGTTTCCATTGCATTTAGTGTATTTTTCCTTACCAATGGAGAACTCTACCGTGTCCAGGTCTGGATGTGCGGAGGGACGTTGGAAATAGCGACGTGTTCTCATGTAGGTCACGTGTTCCGCAAATCGACTCCCTATTCGTTCCCCGGTGGCACCTCTCGGATAGTCAACCACAACAACGCCCGATTGGCTGAAGTGTGGCTGGATCAGTGGAAGGACTTCTATTATAACATCAATCCAGGTTCTCATTTGGTTTGGTCTAGTTTGGATCGAAGTTTCATGCTGACTACTTGAATAGTTTCACTATGGAACTTTGATGTCACATTAGATTAGTTTGAAACATGTCTGAATATCACTTAGAGCACTTTGAGAGAGCAAATCACCAACTTTGTTTGATTGTTTTATTGTATAAATTAAAAATCCTAAGGGATGATCATCACAACTACTAGGTGTACCCAGTTGCCCGAATCACTCAAAATGTAAAAATGTGTGATGCTTTATTTTATTTTCTATTGCACAATTGTTTATTGTTTTTGTTTTTTTGCTTGGGTTGGCGGGCTGTTTGTAATTAGCATGGAAAGCTGGAATGGTTTGATGCGGGAACTTTCCAGTCTGGATGCAGTAGGCGTTCAGCTCGAAAGTTCTCAAGTTTGATGTCTTTTCTCTACATAAAAACACTTTGATTAGGTGCCCGAAACGTGGCAGTAGGCGATGTTTCCAAGCGGAAAGAACTAAGAGAAAAGTTGCAATGTAAAAGCTTCAGATGGTATCTGGAAAATGTTTATCCGGAATCTCAGATGCCCCTGGATTACTACTACTTGGGAGACGTAAGTACCTGGAAAAGGTTGCCGATTTGTTCAATATAACGTGGGTTGCTCAGATCCGAAACATGGAAACGAAGAACTGTCTGGATACAATGGGGAGAAAATCGAGCGAAAACCTGGGCATGACTTATTGCCATAACATGGGCGGCAATCAGGTGTTTGCCTACACCAAGCGGCAACAAATCATGAACGATGATAACTGTTTGGATGCCAATGGCAAGCAGGGGCCTGTTAAGTTGGTGCGATGCCACGGAATGGGCGGAAATCAAGCTTGGGTTTACGACGAGGTGGTAAGTGTGAGAAACTAGTTAATTTGGTGCCAGATTCTCTGTTTAATCTTGCTCAAAAAGCCATAAAAATCACTAGCTGTTTTCCAACGTCAAGAACCCCGAATAGATTAAACAGTGGTCTAAAACATATTTTTTCGTTCATTTCATTTGTGAAAATTTCACATATTCTGCTCTTTAAATATTTATTTACACTGATCAGGAAAACTCACCAGTTTCAAGAAATGGCCACAAACTTTCACTGAAATTGTTAATTTTTTTCAGGACAAAACAATCAAGCACGTGAACACAGGTAGCTGTTTGCAAAAACCCGATTCCAAGGACGTGAATTTGCCATTGTTGCGCCCTTGCAACTATGGAGAGGGTCAGCAATGGATCATGGAAAGCGACTTCAAGTGGCAAGCGAATAACCACCACGAAGAGGAGAGATAGAACTAAGCGCGCAGTTTTGCAACATTTTGTGATAGGGCTGAAGCAACGGCATCTAATTCTGAAACGGGCGCCTGTAAAATGTGTAAATAACAGAACGAGATTTTTTTTATGAATAACGAGTTTTCTATGAAAAGGGATAGTTGTTAAATTTTTTAACAGGCCAGATTTCTTGAATGAGAGAACATTAGAAATTTCAGAAAATGGTTTATTTCCTCTGAATCATCAAGAAAACTAGTACTGGGTACCCTTGGAATAATTTTCGCATTTATACCGCGTTATAATTAACCCAGAATATCGAGCATTTTTCTTTTGGAAATACACGTAAACTGTGCTTAAATCGGTTCTAACATTAACATTCCATTTTTTTTATTATGCATGTTATCGGTCAGAATGCTACTTTGAATATTTTTCCTTGCATAAGCTTTAGGTATTTCAAGCTGATGATAATTGTGCATAGGTAATAACATACTAATTTTCTAGCGACTCTTCCATAATAACTAGTAGAGTTAAGACTTTCTTTGGCTTTGGTTAGTAAATGAGTAATCTGAATGCCATTGTACATATTTGAGAGAACGGGAAGATTATGATAACTTTTATACGTACTAGAGAAGTAATTTCCTTTTCCTAACTAAAACATTTAGTTCTATTTGATTGGCATAGTATCGTTGAAATGCCAAAACTTGCACGAAATTAGTCAGTTTAGATCTGGCCATTTTCTCCCGCTTAAAGTGAGTGTAAAATAGGAAAATTTACGATAATAATACGTTTTAAGGATTTCAATATCATATCAGAAATCAATCTAGCAATATCTTAATATGCAAAAATAGGTGATATCCAATATAGATATAAAATGTTGTCAGGGTTCTCTAAAATGTAAATACAAATCGACGGAACTATAGTCGTTTGTTTTGCATTTTAGACTCTCTGCAATTTATAAAGAAAAAAACGCGTTTAAATAAGGTTTTACTGTACAGGGTTAAATATATGACATATTATTTTAAAATCTTCATTAGGACGACTGTTGTAGGCAAAGACTGGACATTAAAGAAATATTTATAAAAGTTTGTCAGAAACAGTTGTATAACGTGGGAAGCAAATAGTGTGTTTATTTAATCATTAAATCGGAGATCACTTGAAAAAAACATGTTTACTTTTGGGTAAAAATACGTTTAAATTAAACATCTTGTGGAACGATTAATAAACACACGAATATGCGCGTATTCAATCTTAATGTTGACCAGGGATACAGAATGGAATTTACAAGCTGTTGCGACGGTTATAAGGAAATCTCCGAAAACATACTTAAAAATGTCATTTTATACAGCTGAGAATGATGTGGAAATTCCTTTCTGTATCGCTTTTTATTTTAAACTTGATGTAAAACAACATGGTCTTGGCCAGTGAACGCTTCCAATGAAATCGAACAATTGATCATGAACGGTGCTGTTTTATATGAAATTAGTTAGTCCCAATTGAGGTCAACAAATGTTTTAAAAAATGTATCGCACAGTTGAATGCCCATCGGGCGCATTGCTCATTCTGTTTATAGCATTTATTTAGGTTTTATTTTAGTGTAATTGAAAATACGGTCTTTCATATCAGTTGGGAATGTGTTGCAATCAGTCCGAAACCAGAAGCATTTATAACAAACGATTTTATATACACTCGTGCACACATTCCTAAACCTATAAAAATCGCAGCAACCTTTATAGTTGCAATTGGAGTTTTGACTTTGAACAAAATCAAAAAAAAGGTTTTAACTGCGATTTGTAACTGTTAATACCAACATATCTAAAAAGTGGTTAAGCATTTTAATTTATGTTTTATATTGCGTCGTTTTTTATATTTTCGTTGTAATAAATTTAAATTCTGTTGAACTACTTTAGGCTAGGTGGTGGTGCAATCCGGCTTAATCTGAATAAAGTAAATTAAAACTTGAAGAATGTATATTAGATCGGCTGTGTTAAGTCCCATTTTCCATGCTTTCAACCTGAATTCTTAATCCAGATTTGGTATTTTCAGGAAGCGAGGTGCTTTTAAGGTAAGTGCTGATGATCACGACTGGAGTTTCCAGTAATGTGTATGTTTTTCAGGTGGATCAGCTGCGGCTTCGGGATTGTTGAATTTAGATTTAGATATTTTCTGGGGAGGAGGAGAGGAAGTAAGTAATTTTTCTACTCTTGAATTTAGCGGAATTTTAAAGTCGTATTTAAATATGAGTGAGACAAACCTACACAATATAGCGTAAAGTAGATATATACGATGTAGCACTGTTTTTTTTTATTTATTTTGCGGTAAAAAATGGAGCGCAGAAGTAGGTAAATTTGGAGAATGGCGTTGATAGGGAATTTTCAATATACTTTCAGTAGAATTGCCTGGGAGCAATTTGAATCTTCCCAACTTTATCCAGGTCCTTTTAAGCGTTCGAGGCCGTTCCTTCCCAAACCCGAAAAACTAACAAGTGTTAAAGTTGTTATGATTAAAAAATCTCTATTTGCACAACGTTTCGATTAGATTGCACCCATCGTTTGATCGAAAAAATGTGTTTCTTTTGAAGCTAACAAACGATAACTCTTCCTGAAACACTTTGCAAATGGGAGCTCTGCTCGAAACCTAAATGTCGTTTTCGTCTTTTATATGCCAGACTTTTTGAGTGTTTAAACTTTGCCAAATTTCGGATCCTACTAGCAAAATACAACATTTTTCCTTCAAATCAATTATCTCCTCCCATTTTTTGTTCTAAGCATAGATGGGCATATTAAAACGCATTTCTATCAAGGTTTGTTTGAAATAATCGTTTAGCTTAACTAGGATTTTTATTTACATCCTTGTCCAAACTCTCACTATTTGCCTCTTTATATGATCGATGAGAAAGTAAACTCACAAAAGCGTTTATTTCTCGTCCTGTCCTTCGTCCCAAGCTGGATGACAATCCTTCTTGGTGCTCCAAAAACTCTCCAAATTATTATAGACTTTCATCGACTTGTCGTTGTAGTTCATGGCCTGGCAAATTCTGCAATAATGGTAGGACTTGCTCTGGAAATAGCCATGCTCATTGCGAATCTCAAAGTAGTTTTTCCATCGATAATAGTTCGTGTATTCGGCGGTTTCGTTGAGCCACAGCAGATAATTGGCCAGAACTTGAGGACTTGCATAGTCATCAACATTGATGTAGGAATCAGGAGGTAGCAGTTTTTTGTAGGTGGCTTGAGTCGAACCCATCACTACTGGTATGGAGTTCTTTTGGTAGGCATTCCACCATAGTTTCTCCGTTATGTATTCATCGCAGTTCGAATTTTCGAAGGACAAGTAGAACAGGTAGTCGTTGATGGCTGGACAGTCTGTTCCAAAGTGTCCAGGGCATCTAAACAATAACGGAATCTCTTATTTGAGTAAACAGTGGGTTTAACACGATTCATTGACTCACTGTTTCTTTAAAGTTCCACACCCACCATAGATATCCACTTTAAGGTATTTCTGCAGTTCACTCACATATTTCCACCTATGGTTCTGTCCTCCACAGTTTGAGCCCAACACTGCAACCAAAACGTCCTTTCTTTTACCCATCGGCTGTGCGACTTGCAGATAAGCCGGATCTTTTCTGAATACGGTTCGCCCGTACGGCACTGGAATGTCGCTGTCCATTCTGGAAAATCAAGTTTTTCATCTACATAAGTGTCCTTCTTGTTGTTCCTACTTCTACACACTGTCCTACCTGTAAGTCATAGACCAGTTAAATAAACCGTTAAATTCCTTAAGTTTATTTTTGGAGCCCATAAAGGTATGAAAAGGACTTTCGTCGGTTAGAAAGGCCCAGATTTGCTTTGGATCGCTTCTTGCCGGCATATCGGCCAGTCCTGTGATTCGATGCAAATGGAATATCACGATATCTGCCGACTTTGTATCACTATCATTGTACGTTATATCACAGTTTTTTACCGAGCAGTATTCAAAGGGATCTATCCTTAAAAAATATGAAATTATATCAGTGATAATTTTAATTAAGGGAATTGAGGAGTTTAGTTATCGGGAATAAGGGCTGCACGTTTTTGAGG